TCTGTATAACCTGTGAGCTTAAGATCTGATGAGGATGGGAAGAATAGACCCTTTGTTGGAGTAGCTTTCACATATCTAAGCACTTTCCGAGCAGCTTGAAAATGTGCATTGTTTGGTTGGTGCATGAATTGACTTAATTTTCCAACAGCAAAGGCCAAATCAGGTCTTGTGTGGGTTAAGTAAATCAATCTGCCAACTAGTCTTCTATATGATGATGGATCTGAATAGAGATCAAGTGGATCATGGTGAAGCCTAGTTGTGTGATCCATTGGAGTAGAACATGGTTTGGATGCTAATAGTCCTGTATCTTGCAACAACTCAAGGGCATACTTTCTCTGGCAAACAGAAATGCCTTGATCTGATCTAGAAAACTCAAGACCAAGAAAGTAGCTCAATTGGCCAAGATCCTTGATACTAAATTGTTTGTCCAGAAGCCTCTTTACCTTCATAATCTCTGTTTCATCACTACCTGAAATAATCAAGTCATCAACATACACAAGGATGGCTATAAAACCGATATTAGTTCTTTTAGTAAACAATGAATAATCTGACTTTGACTGAACAAAGCCAAACAGTTTGAGTGTCTCAGTGAGTTTAATGTTCCATTGTCTACTGGCTTGTTTGAGACCATAAAGAGATTTTTGCAATTTGCATACTTTGTTAGGAGAAGATAAGATAAGGCCAGGAGGTGGTTTCATATAAACTTCTTCTACTAAGTCACCATGTAAGAAAGCAGTGTTAATATCTAGTTGATGTACTGACCAATTAGAAGCAGCAGCTATAGCCAAAAAAACTCTAATAGTGGTCATTCTTACTACAGGACTAAAAGTGTCAATGTAATCCAAACCTGGTATTTGTGTAAAACCTTTGGCTACTAGTCTAGCCTTATATCTTTCAACTGATCCATCAGCATGATATTTCACCTTAAATACCCATCTATGAAAGAAACTTTCTTGAAGAAGGAGAAGAAGAAGAATGTGAAATCAGAAATATATTGAAAAACCCTATTTAACAATGATCAACTACAAGTATATATAATTACAGCAATACAACAGAAAACAAACTATGACTAACTAACCTCCTAACCTCCTAACTGAATTAAAAAATACAAATAGAAAACAGAATAAGAAAATAGAATAAGTTAAGTCATCATGACAATGTGAGACCAATATCTTTTTAATTAGCATTTCATTCATGCTGAATTAAAGGGAAATGACTCTTACATAGGGACATTTATCCTAAAGGTCTTTAAGCACGTAAAACTAGTTGTATTGCTCTAAGGTATCACTCTCTTTTAAAGTTGTCATCATCATCGTTTGCATCATTGAGTAGCGCGACAAGTGGGGGTGCTCGATCGGTTGAAAGTGACCCCAAAGTGATTGCCATTAAGAGCAAGATCGTAGTGCGTCGAAGAAGGGAGGATAACGAGGAGGACCTAGTGTTGATATTGTCCATATTAGTGACAACCAAGTGTTGTTAAATGAAGTATTGGATGATAGTTGTTGATGCTGGGATTTTCTCGCCACCTACATACCTAGTGGAGTTAGCGACCGATGTGTGTGGTTCTTGTGGACAATGGCAACATCTTTAAGGATATGATGGTTTGGATGGTATACAACGAGCCAAATCCATGCAACCTATCATGTATATAACCTTACTTGTCAGCCTCCACCTCAACGCAATGTTTTGTCACTTTTAGTAAGGAACCTTGTGAAGACTTTGTGTCAAGGTTAACACTAATGGCAACTCAAGTGGAAATCTCAATTTGTCTAGTTTTGGCGGGGTCATTTGTGAATCTCTTGACAACTCAAAAGTAGGATACTCAAGTAGTTGTGGATACACTACCGACATGAAGGTCGAGTTGCTTGTGATCTTACATGGTTAATTTAAGAGTAGCTTGGGATGAAAGATTCATAATGATCATATGTGAAACTGAGACTCTAATGGCGTTAAACCTCATTACAAAAGAAGTTTCATCTTAGCATTCTATGAAACCATCATTATAGTTGCAGGGATGAATCCATGGCTATGGGAGTGGGAGTAGGTGTCCTTCTAAAATTTTACTCTTTCTCATTTTTATATATATTATTATTTTCTTTTCATAATATATATATATATATGATTATGTATATTAATTATATTTTAATGTATTACAAAAAAATTGTTAAGTAAATTAACAAATTTTATGAAGACATGATATTTGTTATTAAAAATTATTTTTATACATATTATAGATATAATATATGTTGATATATTATTAAAAGATTAAATATAAATTACAGTAACATTTTTTTTATGTGAGTATATGTAATATCTTTTGTAATGATTTTTTATATTTAATTTGTTAAAATATATTAATATTTCATTTATATTTTATTTTATTGTATAATTTCTTTCAATTTATCACAAAATTGTCTTAATTTATTATTATTATTATTATTATTATTATAATATATTTTATTTTTTGGCCAAAAAATTTATTACTTCTTTATTCATTAAAGATGTCATAATTTAGTTTACAAATATATAGATTATTTTTTAATTTTAATTTTAGTTTTTAACCCTTTTGATCTTGTATATGTACATTGTGTGTTAGTAGGAGATGATTCAAATTAAGAGAAATGAAAATAATTGTTACGTAAAATTTTTATTTATTTTTATTTAAACATATTTATTAAAAAATAAATTTACTTTTATAAAAAAAAAGTGTTCTCATAAAATATTTTTATTTTAAATGAACGTGAAAATTTAGAAAAGATACAAAAGAAAACAAATAATAATTATATTATATTTATCTTAATAATTTATAATATTTTATTCTTTTAATATATTAAATAAATTACTAAAAATTATAAAGTCACATTCAAATATAATATCAGACAGAAAAAAATAAAAATAAAAATTATCACTCTATTTATGAAAAATTTTAATTTATAAAAATAGATATATTAAATTTTTTATCAAAAAATATACTTTTTTATAAAAAATTATTATATTTTTAATAAAAAATATTATAAAATATTTTATTAACCCCACTTAACAAAATTTTTTTATTCGCTAGTTATTACTGGTATTACCGTCACTTATTACTGGTATTAAGCATATTAAGTCTTACATCCTTAAAGTATTCAACTATACTCTTAAGGAAATGTAACCTTAATGTACATATTGGTTAGTAAGACAAGGCTCCTCACCGATGTATCCCCCCCTCAACTTAGGTTTATGCTTTTCTCTGACATAGACTGTCCCTTTAGTTAGAAACTTATTTTTGTTTTGAGCTTGTATTCTCGTTCTAAAAAATAAAAAAGAAATTATTTTTTCCCCAAAACTTATAATAAAATTATGTGGAAAATCTCTTAATAAAAAAATTTATTCTAATATTACATGTGTATCTCTATTTGCTACATAAGTATTGGGTCTAACAAAGTTAACCAGTTAGACAAATACCAAAACATTTTTAACTTATAGAGACTAAGTACAAAAACTTTTTAGAAGACTAAAAGAATTTTTTTAAAATAAATAAATTAATTTGAGAGACAAAGACATATTTTGTCATAAATTTGCAGCATATTTGTTCTAATTAACTAATTAGCCTCTCTCTTCTTCTTCTTCTTTTTTTTTTTAAAATTAATATGCAGGAATTCATGTTTGTTAGAGAAAAACTCCATTCTACGATTTTGTTGTATGAATTAAATTGACCAAAATTTTAATACAAACCAAGCTGAAATTATGCGAATCCATTATTTGTTCTCATTTTTGTCCCAGAAAATATTAACACGTGACTTTGTAATAAATTTGTAACTTCATACTGGTTCTGAGTAATTAGGAGCTAGTCCTTGGTTTTATTAAATAATAACTAGACATTCATTTTTATTAGAGAAACGGTCGATGGTATGGATTTATTGAACAAATTTAACTGATGAAAGCTGTATTACAAAACCATGCTTAACTTATGTCAAATCTGTTACTTGTTTTTCAATTTTTAATTTAACTTTTGTCCAATAAAATATATAATATTTGTCTTTGTAATAAATTCATGCAAGAACTGTTCTTTTTTTTTGGTAAAGTAGGAAAACTAAACAAAGCACACAGCTCAAGACATAGAGTCTCTCCCTAACGAAAACAAAACAAAATCTGGAGGACTCCTCCAAAATACATTGGAACCTAGGTTCCTTACACCCCAACTAGCAAGCGTATGAGCTACTGAGTTTATTTCTCTAGGGATATGACTTACGTAAACTACCCAATCCCTGGCTAGCCATCGCTGAACACGCCGAATAACATCATAGTGCTTGTGCAGATAATCCCTATCCGTTGGCCGATCTTGAAACAATTTAACAGCTCCCAGGCAGTCACATTCGCAGTTCACCTTCCGAAACCCATTTAGCAACCCATTTTTCATTAAATATCAGACATTCATTTTCATTAGATATATGCTTCATGGTTCAAATTTGTTGCACGACTTCTTAATGTATTCCAAATCCCTTATTAATTTTAATTTAACTGTTGACGTCCAATAAAATATAAACATGTAAACTTATAATAAATTGGCACTGTAACTGTTCTAACTAATTAGCAGCCCTTTCCCAATAAATATCCATGCATTAATTCATGCAGCAAATATTATGTTATAATAGATAAAAGCATAATTTGGATTTTGGAGCAAACTCAACTTGATTCAAACTAATCAAACTTCAAATTAAATTTTAGGGGTTGATCCCCTCTCTGACAGCTCCATATATTCAACCTCTTTTTATCCTCTCTGTCACTCTCTAATTTTACTTATGATTTCTTCATTTTTTTTCATCTTTGATACCTTTGTTTCTGTTGTGCTAGAGGGAAAACGTAAGGTTGAAGAGAATCCATTTTTTTTTTCATATATCGAACTCTAAAATTAAGAGAAGAGAAAAAAAAGAGATGAAAACTTAAATTTCGAACATAATTAATAACAGGTAGCACTTGTTATAAATTTTAGGTAAAGATTTATTTGTATATATGTATATATGAAATGTCTTTGTAACATTGTTTATTCAGTTTCTATGGCACTCATCCTTTATCACATACTAAAAACTATAATATTTGCGATCAGGCGGGTGCTGGATCCATAGCGCTACATGACATTTTTCCAATTCATATCTAATCAGCATTTGAAAGCCTTTTCAGCAATTCATTGAACTCATCTTCTGTTCCAATGGCGCTAAGTCTAGCATACTTTGGACTGGCACCAAATCGTTGTCCTCCTCTTGCACGAACCTTCAATTTTGCCATCAGATAACTAGTACAATCTTCTATGCTCTCATCGCACTTCAACCATAGAAAACCTGCACAACATAAATGCATGCGTACAGTATAAGATAAAATATATATATATATATGTAACGTATATCTTAATTAGTTAGCAATAGCATAGGGTAAATTAACTAATTAATTAATTACCAGGGTTTGATTCAGATGACTCATTAGTGAATTTGCAGTAGGATGTTGGGAACTTGGCCACAGTGAAGACCTTGGATTGTTCAATAACTTTCAAGAGTTTCTCCCACCTCTCCCTCATGATGCGTTTGCTATATTCAAAGAAGAGCTCAGATTCCATGGATCCAAAGTTTTGGTAGCCATCGCAAATCACTCCAATGATCTTAGCAGCACGAATTTGGGATTCTTTTGACACACCAATGGAGTTCATGTGCACATACCGAGTCATCTTCTTAGCAATTTCAATGTCCTTCACGATGGCCCACCTTCACAGCAAAATCATAACTTAGCATATTTCAACAGCACCATTTACGTATAAAGTTTTCCATGCACTAGCTAACCATAACTCCATGGCAATGGAAGAGGTCATGACTACGTGAAAAATAATATTTGAAACCCTTGAGGGTATAAATATACACCATATTGGAGTAAGAGAAATACAAGATGAGAGTTAAAAAGAATGCAAACCTATTATGATTTTTTGGCACAAGATTGACATTTATTTTCTATGAGACAATAAAGACTATTATTATAGGTTGAAATTAGTACATGACACTGGACCTCAAGATCATTTTTAAACTAATATAACCAAGGGTTAGTTGAAAACTAATAATGATTGAGTTTATATATAAGTAGTGTAATTTATATTTCTAATATTTCCCTTGGTACAATAGTGCATCGGATTTGAATGGTATATCGAATTTTAATCACTTGATAATACATAATTATATGAAAAGAGACATGGATAATTGTATATATATTAAGTGTGTGACTCACCCTATACGGGAACCAGCATGACCAGTACACTTGGAGAATGTGAAGTTCATGATGTCATGATCAGCTTTGTGAGTAATGGGAGTGTAGTGTGGCCAGTAATAGGCAAAATCATAAACCTGTTTCCCTTCAGCTTCAGATTTCACCACAGGTCCTCGAATAACCCCATCAGGGTTGTTTGGGGAGGTTACTGCCTCAATGTAGGGTTCATTTTTGTCATACAAAGCAGCATCACCAGCCCAATGATACAGCTTTGAACGCAAAATTTCAATCTCACTTGGATATTCCTGCAAAACATTAATTGCTAATTCATTCACACGATAATCATGTCATTAAATTGATACCCCGCTTAATATGCAAATGCATGTCACAGGCTTAATTAGATCAAGTCAACCATTAGAAAATTAAGTGCTTCTTTGAAAAGAAAAAAAAATAAAATAAAAAAATAATAATAAAACCATATATACTGAGAGGTTGACCAAACGAGGGTTATGAAATTGGTGGACACCAGAGAGACACACCATGTTACCCATGTTTGCATATAGAATCAAATCTACATCTTCATGTGTCTACGTGGATGTGTTTGCTGCATGTTTCCATGTTGCCTAGTGTTTCCAAAAGACATGTCTGTCACTTCTTGGCCTCCTAAAACATTGATGAGAAGGTTTCATTTGAATTTTCATTTCCACTTCCCACAGTGGGAACAAGAGGTACTGGTCATTGTGGTCAACTCAGTATTCTAAGTTATTGTAACCGTCATAACAATTTTAGTTCGTAAAACACAAACTTAGGCAAGAGACACGCATTTTGAGATCAATCGTGGACGCACTCCCACATGACAAACACGGACATTTCCCTCAAATACTACTTTATCATCAAAACTAGTTAGTTGAAAGAGGTTTTCGCAGTTCTCGTTTTGACCGAGTGAATGCTATCTTCTTAAATTTCATTCTCTTCAACTTAAATATATGAGTGAACTGATCAAACTTTGACCAAAAAAAAAATCCTTTTTAACCTTTTTTATTTTCAAAGTTTTATAAAATATTATCACACGATCTTAAAAAAAATTACTCTTTATGAATATTTTGAGATTTTAAATTAAAAAAGTAACATTAAGACAAATAAAATAAACATTTATGCTTAACTTTAAAAAAGAAAAAAAAAAAACTCCATTCGGTTGGTCGTTGTCTTTCTTCTATATACGTTCAAAGCAAATCTAACTCAAACTTTATGAAAAAAAATTCATTTAAAATAATCATTTTACAAGTATGAGATACATAGGATGAGAAGAAAGAGAAATGTAGGACAAGATCGGTGATGCAATAAAGATAAAGAAAAAACAATCTTATAAAAATATTGTATAAATAATTAATATAACTTATATATGAATATAGGAAGTGCTTCATGTTAGCTTCTCTTTCTTATTTTTTTGTTATTGAAAGTTTCATGTTAATAAAAAGAAATCTTAGTATACTAAATACGGGAGAAAAAAGCCATAATTTGTCACACAAAAATGATATACACAAATTATACCAATCAAAATTCATTTATATTTTCAGAAAACAAAAAAATGATATTGTATGTTTAATGAAAAATAATGGTCGATGTATACAAATTAAAAATTGATGAACCATTAACATTCGTAGCGAAAATTTATTTGGGCAGATTATACAAATTAATGTGTGTTAATACTTTTAAAAAAAGGATAAAAAATGTGTATGTTTAATGGAAAATAACGATCGACAAATATAAAAGATTGATCAGTCGTGTGCGAATTATGCGAATCAGTACATGCAAATATTTTAAAAACAACAAAAACATCGTGTATGTTTGGCAGAAAATAACGACCGATAAACATTAAAAAAAAAAAAATCATATCATCGACATTCATCACTTTTCGCGCCATTAAGTTTTGCGCAATTTAGTATTTCCCTTGAAAACAAAATATAAATTTGCATTTCACTATGAATTTAAAAAAAAAAAACTATTTTTTTGTAGAGTATATTTAGGGCAACAAATTCAAGCAAACATGACCACTCTTCAAAGATGCTTAAAAAAATGGTAATTTAAATAAGAGGTACATGGTTGCAAATGGATCTAAATCACATGTTACCTTTGTGTCTTCCCTTAACTCATGAATGGAAAATAAACCAAATATTATAACAATTTAGCAAGGAAACAACAGCTAAATCTTAGAATGACTCATTAAAAAAAGGTTAAACAACATATAGATTAGTTATGAACAAAACCAAGAAGCATTTCGTACCAATAAAAACATATCATAGTTATTAAAAAAAACACATTAGAGAGACTGAAATGAAGAGGTGATAAGAGCAAAAGGGGCTACCGAGTAGTATGGAGCAGCAGCCACAACATTGATGGGTTGAGGAGCCTGTGAGTCAGAAGAGAGAGCATAGAGAGCAGCTTGGAAGAGTTGTGTGGCTCCAGTCCCCACTACTATGTGCCTCTCTTGTGTCACAGCATTTCCAACTACGTGGTGGAGCCTTCTCACAGCTTCTCCAAATTCTGGCAACATGTACCAACACACGTTCTTATCATCACTCAGATAACTCATCAGCTCCCACCCTTTTATCACCACTGTGCAAGCTTCACTCATCTTCTTCCAGTATGCCTCAAACACCAATGGATCACCCCTATACGTCACATGCAATTCAATTAATACAATTCACGTCACAATAACAATGAACATAAATATGTCAAGAGATTAAAGTGTAGTATGCACAAGATCTTATGTTCGAATCTGGTGTGATTTGAAAGACTCTAATTAAAGAGGTTATTACCTCTCAAGGTCGATGATGTCATTGGGTGAGAAAATAGTGCCATTGGAACCAGGGAAGCTGTTGTTGGTTGCAACCACCATGTTTGAATACTCTTCTTGCTAATTTATTTTGATCACAAAGGGAGTCTCAACTCTCAATCCACTACTTGCTTCTCTCAAGTTCTATGGAACTTCTTTGCTCTCATGTGCTTATATATACATAGACAATGAGAAATATATGGTAACGAGTTTTGAGGTATCCTCTAGCTTGCTATTATAATATTGCTTCAAATTTAACTTTCGAGCATTTTGAGATCCAATGTATTCTTTTTCTCCTCCACAATTAATATGCCAATATATTTAATATTTGTTTGACATAACTTATATTTTAGGTAATTTTTTAATATTTTAATTTTTTAAATATATATAAGGAATTATTATTGCTATTTTACAAATAATATATGTATTTTAGAAAGAAAAAAATTATGTGATTGATGAATGTACGTCAAGTAGATTTAATTTTTTAGATGAATAATTTAATTTTAAAGTTTCAATTTTAGAAGTAAATCTCTAATTAAGTTATACATAAGCAATTAGAAGGTTAAAATATTTTTCTTTTATTTTTTCTCCTCTAATCACTTTATTTTCTCCACATTAAATATTTGAGTTGACTGTAATTAAATGGTTCATGTAGAGATTTTGTAATTTTATTATTAACAATCTCATGAATTTAATGAATTTTTAATGCCTCTAGTACTTTTTTTACATCCATTTAATTTTCATGACAATAGGAATTTTCTTACAGTAATTTATTTGACATAATTATAGTATTTTAAAATTTATTTTTGATATTTTTTTCAAATAAATATAGACATTCAAACTATTTTATAGCAAAATGATACACATAATAAATTAGGAACATCAATTGAAAACATAAACTATTTTTTATATGTTCAATTGACGATTTCTTTATTATTTTTTTCATGTGACGATTTCTTTATGCCCGTAGTAATTTTTTCATCCATTTAATTTTGACAGAAATTTCTAAACCAGAATTTAAATTCACATTTCCTTCGTCTTAAAATAATTTTTATTCAAATATTTTACACATAAATTAAGCACAGTAATAAACATATCATTTAATATAATTTTATTAAAATAGTCTCATTTACAATAATAAATTTTTTACTTTTAATTATTGTGTTTGAAGAATTTAAGAGCAGATAAATCACGAAATAAAAATTAATATTATAATGAAAACTGAGAATATCAATCATTTTAATTTAAAATATTTTTTAAATGCTAAAAGTGTAGTTATTTTTAGAACAGAAGAAGTAATATTTATTAAATTCATAATATACATGAAAAAGCTTATTTAATGAATTCATGGTATTTTTGAATTTATTTGATTAAAATAGTGTTTCTGATTTTTTTTTTAACTTTTCAAACAAATATAGACATTTAAACTATTTTATTAAAAAATGATACAAAATAAATTAGGAACATCAATTCAAAGAATGTTAAAAAAAACCATTATTATTAAATTTTTTATTCATTTCTAAGAATAAATTTCAGTTCATGCATTAATATCATACTATTTTAAGATTCATTTTAGTTCTTTTTTTTTTAATATTTATTTTAATCATTTATTTTTAAATTAGATCATAATTTGGCATCATTTTCAATTTTGAAATACAATTTTGAATATTTTTTACTAACTCAGTCTAATTAATTTTAACTACATGAAAACTATTGAACCCAACTATTATATTTAAATAAACAAAAAACGAGAATCATAAGCATAATGAAAATCGCAAGAAAATGAGTATAATAGATAACACAAAATTAAAAACAACTAATATCATAGTATTTTCTAGTTCTACATGATATATATAGTTAAAAAAATAATTATTCATGAATATCGCAGAAGAAATATTAGGAAAGTTAAGATAATTTTATCTTTTATAATTAATTTTGTTATTTACCTAAAATTTAAAAAAAAAAAAAAAACATTAGTACCAAGTACATGCACAAACTACCCAGGACTCGAGTCATGACAAAGACGAGAGGCTTTTATGATGTCGTGTCTTTATGTAGTTGGTCTTGGTATGTATCCGGACTATATTAGTACAATATTTATTTTATTTCTAATAAAAAGAATATTAATAATAACTTTCTAAGTAACTTTGGTTTGGTAAAACTATTTTTCTTTATTTAGAATCTTAAAACAGATGCTTTTTCTGAACTTGGACTTGGAAATTATTTTATTATTAGAGGCTTAATGTTAAGGAGAATTTTTTATTTTTATTTTTTTGTTGAAAAATATTTTTAAAAATGAGTATTTTTCTGACCTATTTTTTATTGAACTCATATTGGAATCATTATTTATAATCTTAATTAAAACAAGTATCTCATTACATTTAGAATAAAAATAGGTGAAACAATTTATCAAAAATTATAGTTGACCTATTTATTAAAAAAAGCTATAAACTTAAGGCTTTTAGAATCTTATTAACTAAAAAAATCAAATTTTAGACATTAAAAAACTTAATAGGTCAATGGATCAACCTATTTAAGATATAAAATGATATTTTATATTATATTAATTTAATTTAATTAATAACCATATTTAATAATTATTAATAATAAATATATTTAATACTTAATTCTATTAGCTTATTTATATATAGGTTTTTGTATAAATTAGATTTTAAAGTTAGCCTATACTTTTAAACATACCATATGTAACACATTAAAAAATATAATACATACAAGTAAACAAATCAAACTCTAGCTTACTAATTTTATTGTAGGTCAACTTCAGGTACGTCAAGCCTAATCTAACTTCATATGTTTCCACTTCCAAGTGCATGACCATTCTCACTAGTTGACGATAACATGATATATTGACTTTGACATGATATTTTAATGTTAACATGAATGATGGAAGTCAGAATTAGTGACCTTGACTTAACTATCAAATTTATTATTTGAATATCTAGGTCATCTAATTTTTTGAGTTATAATATGAAGACTATATTCTATATAACATTATTACATTAGTTAATTATTTTTTTTAAAATTCTTATTGAATGTTAAATTTAGTTTGAAATTAATTAATAAAAATTACATAATAAGATTTTTTTTAGCAAATAAATCATATAATTTATTATTTAATATATTTTTATACAGTAAATATAAATATATGAACACTTTTGTCTTTTATTTTTTAAACTCTGTTTTATCTCATTATTTTTTTAATACATCGCTATTTTAATATTATAAATTTATATTATTTATTGTATAAAAATTTTATTAAATAATAAATATACTAGTATTATATTATTTATTTAATATTTATATTTACCGGATGAAAAAACATATTGAATAACAAATTATACTTATTGAATGAAAGAAAGTATATCAAACAATAGAATTTATATTTACTAGATGAAAAAATACAACAACAACAACAAGAGACATTATGCATAATATTCTGTTTGTGGTTTAGTGAGTTCCAACCCTCCCTAGGTCTTAGAGTTCTATTCGGGTCCTGTTATTCTACCCTCGTAAATTCCTAACATAAAGGTAACTATAATTTATAAAGCTTAATTAGGATATCCTTTAACCATTTAATATACAAAGGTCATACATGAGGTCTCTATATCTTCTATTTCTAGAATTCAAAATTATATATGTTTCGTTTCTTTCTTTCTCAATTTTTTTTAAGTGGTGATGTGATCATTAAATAATTTTTAAAGAATTATCATTAAATTAGTCTCTCCAATGTGCCTTTTAAGATCATTACTAAGGTTATGATTGTATTTGTCCACATTTGGACACGGATATATATAGGACCTCTTCAAAGTAATTTTATGTCATCATTGCACAGTGTTCTTATTTCTCAGAAGATGGTCCATTGCATGCATATAAACAATTAAAAAAATAAAAAAGGAAAGGAAAAATAGTCTTCTTATGCTCAGATTAAAAAAAAAAAAAGAAAAAAGGAAGAATAGTCTTTTTATGTTCAAGATTGATTTTGAAAAAGTCTACGGTTGTATTAATTAGAACTTTTTGAGACTCACTTTGTTGGAGTTTGGTTTTCTAACATGATCATGAGTTGCACCACTACTACTAATCCTGCTCTAAAATGGAATAATGAGAAATTTAATAATATACACACAAAAAAATACATGCAATAACATACAAAAATATCATTATAAATATAATATATAAATATAAATTCATTTTAACATATAATCAGGGACGGAGCCAGGATTTCAATACTGGGGGGCCGAGAATAAATAATATATAATTTATAATAAATGAAAATTAAAGTATCAAAAGCATATAAAAAAAAATATAAAAAAAAATTAAAATTGTTGGGGGGGCCGTGGCACCCGTAGGTCCCCCCTTGGCTCCGTCCTTGCATATAATTATATATAATTTTAGTATTAATTTTAAATAAAACTTAATATTATATATTTAATACCACTATAATTTATAATTACACTTTTTAACAATATAACAACATATTATATATATATATATAATACAGATAAAATTAGTTTATAATAATAAATATTGTGTTATTATAAAATATATCATTTTATAATTTTTTTATAGTAACTTTCAAAATAGGATTGAGACAAGGGAACCCCTATTCCATTACTTGTCTCTCCTTTGCATGAAAAAATTTGCCTTATGGTGTGTTTGGACGAGGAATTTATATAGGGTAATTCATTTATTTGAAGAATTTCAAATTCCTTGAGGTGAAATGCTTTGTTTGGATGAGGAATTTACCAAAGAATTTGAAATCCAAGCATTTGTGAAATTCCTTAAAATAGTAGAATTTCAAATTCTCCAAAAAATGGAAGAATTTGAAATTCTTCATATTTTTTTTAATTATCTCTTTATTCTTTTAATTATTGGATATTCAAAAATATTTTTAAAATTATTAAATATTATCTTATATTAATTTTTAAAATTATTAAATATTATCTAATATTAATTTTTAAAATTATTAAATATTTAAAAATGAATTAATATTTATTTTTATAAAATTTAATTTAAAAATCTCAACATATAAATATATTTTTAAAATTAATTTTATTATGATGAAATCAAATTATCATATTCAACCTAACAATTTAAAATTTAAGAAATTTGAATTGACTCATCCAAACAAAATATTTTAAGAATGATAGAA